ATTTTATAGCTTCTGGTTGTACTATTCAGCTTTTGGCTGATTTCTTTTCGCATTTTGTGCCGTTTTATTAATATATATAGTACCTCTATCGTTTCGGCAAAAAAAAAATAAAAAAAGCCTAATAGTCAAAACCAAACTTGAACATGTAAGCATAAATTTATGTCAATAAGCTTTCCGAAGCATACGAGTCTACTATTTTGGCTCCGTGCATTCGAAAATTATATATAAGGGCAAGAGACTTGGGCTGAGTTAAATTTGACTCAGATTTTGAATTTTTTTTCTTTTTTTTTCCAAACGATCACGATAATATTACTCAAACCAAAGAGAGTTTAACCGGACGGCCTACTAGCCGTAATACAAACCAGAGAACCACTCCCACTCGATGGCCTAGAACACACAACAAGACACTAAAGGCATAGGCAAAGCTATGAGACCAAAACACCACCAAAACAAATAACACAAAACAAAGACCCTAACACGCAAAGACCCCCAACAGAGTAATAAAACGACCCCCAACGGAGTAATGACAAGATTTTGAATTTTAAAAATAAAATGGTTGATTTACTTTTTTTCTTTAATTTTTTATTTTTTTTTTCTTTTTTGGAATCCAAGCACTACCTTTGCTTTTCAATGATAATATCAATACTCTAGTCATGTAGTTAAATTTCCCTACAAATTCTTTGCCGCAATCTTCACGCAGGGGCGGACGCAGACTTCAAGGACAACGGGGGCACAAACTGCGGTAAACAGTCAACTTCTAGGTCAACGGTCAAATCATTATTTAACCAATTAAAAAATAAAAAGATAAATCTTGATAGACACCTTGTATTTTATTTAATAGATAAGGTTGAGTCTTACATTCTCATTTTAAGAATAGTGACACATTTGATCCAATCCCTATGTGGTATATACATTTATGTACAATATTTGTTTTTATATGTATTTTAGGAAGAAAAATGAAATAAAAAAGAAGTTGAATATAGTATACACGTAAATTCTACAAGTTAAAAAATAACAAAACATTGAAGGAATAGTTCTAAACATATGTTTTTTATTTTTTTTATATTGAAATAACTTTTATTAATAATTAATATGTATTTTTTATGTTAATTAATACATTTATACATATAATATATATATATATATACATAAATATTACAAAAAAAATTAAAGGGGCCCGTGCCCCTACGGGCCCCTATGTAAATCCGCCAGTGTCTTCACGTACGGTCGTGCGCCATGGTTTTTCTGCAAAGTTCCTGCTCTGGTATCATGTTGATTTACGATATTTTCTTCAATTTGTGTGAGAGTGTTTTTGGCATTTTCACATGTTTTCATACATTCACTCAAAATTAAAAGAGCTGAAAGCTCAAGTACTGGATATAAGCATGACGACGAGCTCATGCTTTCCATGTGAGCTAATTACTGCTCCAATCACAATGCAACGCGTATCCGAAATAAAAGATCAGAGAAAACAAAAGAAAACTGGAAATAAAAAGAAGACGCATTGACGACAGCTCTCTAAGTGAGAGTGATGCCTTCTTCATTGCACGAGAACGACAAATAAAAAGCGAGAAATAAAAACGGCAACAGGACGTGACAATATTGCTGCATGAAATAAAGCGCGCATGCGTGAATATGCAGCTTCATCTTCTCATCATCCCAACGAATCTCCTATGCCGATTTCCTGGTTAAGGAAACAAGTATACAAATATAATTTGTCCGCTCCTCCGAAAACTGATCTGCCATTTTCTTTGCATAAACTTCGAAGACATGTCCAACATTAATGGAGGTCCCAAAATGGAAGGCCAACTTGGGCTCCATGAAAGATCGAACATTTCCCGCCACCACCTTCGCACTCTTGTACTTGTCCAAAACGCCATCATCGTTATTATTATTGTTGCCCTCATTATAAGTAGCATCGTACGGCACACGAACAATTTCCATTTTGTCCAAACTAAATGATCCTTCGTCGCTTATTATTGTCTCCACTTCTTGTAGGCACGGCGTATATATAGGCACATTAAATGAATGTAAATCCTCCTCCTTCACAAAGCCCTACATATATATATCCAACCAAAATTTTTATTGAAATTTAATTTACAAAATTAATTATCATATAATATCTACTATTTCATAAGAATCTAGATTTTAATTACCTGAGCAGCCATATCCGAGAGTGCTTCTCCAAGCAAAGTAAGAAGTTTGAATTCGTCTTCGCGACAAGGATTAACAGAAGTTCTACCGACAAACGCCAAAACCATACGGCCACCTGATATTAATTCTTCAGCTCTCATTCTTAAGAACTTGGAAAAATCCTTTTGGAATTGGCTTGCATATGCTTCCCATACTTGCGGCGAACTTTTCATCGAAACGCATATATTTTCCTTGTTATTCGTCCCTAGACCTTCCGGAACCTTCCGAGCATTTGAAAAAAGTTTTAACGGATAATACCAGAATTAAAACAGGCTATAATGAGTAAAGATGCTAGTTTGGTAAAGATCATGTATGCCTAATTTACCTGGGAGAGCCAATGAACACTGAAGGAAGAGTAAGCAAAGTGTAGGGTATTCTCGGGGAATAGGCTATCATAAAATGAACCGGGCACGCCGCATATAAAAAATTTCAACTTCCTTTGTTTTCGGTCCTCTCGACTGAAACTAGACGCCAGTCGGAACACATTATTGAAGTCATTACCAGGTAGATCATTGAGAAGCAGCTCGAGCTGAGGCAACTCATGATCATCGGTTTTTTCAAGGTTTTTCGACAGGTCCTCGATCGTGTCCATCACGTGGGAGACGAGGAAAAGAGTATTGGGTCCCGACGCGCACCCGAGGTCGGCCATTCTCATACATTTTGGGAAGATTTTGTTATGCTCATGATCAGCAAACATGTTTTTCAGGGCCTCGTCTATCATCGGCCATGATTTTAAGATCACCACTTTCTGCAACAAAAAATCAATTTAATTAACAAGTAAATAAAAATTATACATACACCGGATAGATAGAATAGATGGCAAAATTTCAATTTTAGTCCACTATGTTGGCACTTTTTTGAAATTGGTCCATCATGTAGGGTGTATTCAAAAAAGGTCCACGATGTTGCCATTTTAATCAAGTCTCGTACAGTTTTCAGGATGGATTGATAAGATGTTGACGTGGACGGATTAATTTCTGACGTGGAAGGTCAAATTCTTACGTGTGAGTCAAATTTCTACGTGGATAGTAAGTTCTCTCAAATTTATTGACGTGGACACTTTTTTTTTCCACCTAATTTTTTTCTTAAGTTAATTAAGATTAAAAAATTGTTTTCCCTGAAGCTCGATGGAGTCTGAGCAGAAAAAATGGCAGATCGAAGGAGTAGGGTCGTTTCATTTCTTCAACTTTGTTCTTCCTTCTGTTGGGCTGCTCACTATAGTCCAGAGGAGCGAATTTCGATTTGGTCAAGAGTGGCTTTCTTTATTCCAGTTGAGATCCTCAATCCTCATTAGGGTTACAGCCCAAGGAATGGCCCATTAGATCTGGCCTCTACGCGTCGTCGTGGGTGGGAGTCCGGTGCGCCGGCGGTAGGGTCATCGGAACAACATCTCCGGGTTCAGGCGGACGAGAAGAACCATTCAAAACACTGGGTCTCAATCGTCGCTCTCCAAAACCTGGCCCTTTTTCCCTCGTTGAACGCTGCGAATTTCGAGCTTCCGGACCGATCTCGAGTGGGTTGACCTATAGCTCGACAAACTCCAGTTCTCGAT